ATAAATATTCACAACAGTTAGTAGTATTCTGAAGCAAATTTGTTCAGAGCAGCAAAGCTATAAGGAGACGGACACCGGACGGGAAGAATTGTGCCTGGGATCCATCAGCTGGTATCATCGCCAAAGCATGTGAGGCAAAAAGTTCTCGATTGCCACTCCTTTTTACTGACCCCGAGGTGCGTTCTGAGCGTTCCCCCGGTGTCCAAAGATGAGCAAACAGTCCCAAGAAAAAAAAAAGTTGTGAAGGTTGCTGAAAAAAAAGCCTTGTATTTCCAAGTGGCTGCAGTAAATTAACAAAAAACCATGCTGAAGAATCGGAAGCTGATCAGAAGAGACTTTAACCCGAGAATACAGAAGTCGAATGAAACGTCCAGCTTACCAACGTAGAATGAGCTTGGCAATGAAAATGCTGTGGCGAGGAAGCCAGAACTTCTTCAGGTTTATTCAAGGCGAATAAGAAATCGTTTGCTTATCAAGGAACTCCTCTTGTGCTGCTGTATGCGAGAGAAACCACATTTCTTTGGCCCTGCGCCTGACATTGATCAAATTATCATCAAACATTGGCCAACAAAGAAGGGACGCAAACAATCCGATCCTCTCTCTCTCTCTGCAGAATGCGTGTGGTGTGTGCAGATTAGGATTAAGTATGCAGCTTAGGATTAAAGCGTCTTGCATGGCTGCGCTCGATGTATAGGAACAACCCAGTAACATCACTAACATGGGGTACCCGCAATGACTGCCAATTCGATCAAAATTTCATTGTTGCGAGTGAAAGCACAGCTCCATGAGAAGATTCCTGTGACACATTCAGATGGCCAGCGTACGCCCGAGCTTTTTGTAGCCTTTTATAACTTGCTGAAGAAAGCAAGGAATCAGGTTAAGACGACACATTTCAAGCATAATATATTTCATGGAGATAAAACAATGTGCCAATAGCAAACGATACCAAAAGTGTATTTCTCCAATACATCCGAGATACAGAAACCAGAAAGGTGTCCACCGGGCGGCTGGCCACAGCTAGGATCAGCATAGCCGAAGTCCCCATGTAATGCAGGCAAAACCAGACTCGAAAAAGTGTAGGACTAGTGTAAACCATTCTCCTTTTTAAGTTCGAAGGTAAGCCAGTCAAAAAAGATGGGTAAAATGCGACAGAAAAACTAAGGACACCGAATGAAATGCAATGGGTAATAGAAAGGGCCGGGTATTGCCCACGGCGGCAGAAAATGCAGGAATAATGAACAACATGACCAGCTGAGATTTTACGAATTGCTAGTATCATAGCACATGAAAAGCACCAGTATTAAAAAAAAACACTGAAACATGCTTAGAATGAGGGGAAATAGCCATTTCCTAGCTTCTAGCTGTGAGATTCTCTGTATCCTCTAAGATTCTTAGTTAAGCATCTTGAAGAGCAATTCTTAGCACCCTGCTTCCGCCATTGTGACGCAGAAAACACGAAATCATTGCACTAGGTTACTGAGAAGAAAGAAGCAAAGAATCCGGAGCATGTAACATTTGTATCGGAAAAATGAAGAAAGCAGAACAATTATTAGGATCAGTCGCAGGCCGAGTGGCCCACCAACTAACGTAGCATAGCAAAACATGGAAATATTATCAAATGTATCAACTACGTGAAGAAGGTAGATGGGTCACCATGAAACAATAACTAAAAAATTCGGAAAGTTAAGAGCTTCACAACTTCGCTCCGGATGCCTCACTGACTTCAAGATCTCGCCCAGTAAAAAGTTCAATGATACTATCCGCCCCGAAAAAACCCTTGGATCAACAGTCCCTTCGGCATGCTCTACTACACCGCTACTCTTTTATTGAGTGAGCTGAGAGTAGTAGCGTGTGGCCCACCAAAGCAATTCGCCATTTCTAGAAATACTCAGGAACTGCTCATGACGCGGATAATGGCCT